TCACACGTCATACAACCTGCCTTGCCTACCCTACAAGGTTCCATCCAAAAAAGGTGCCGGAATTCCGTTTTGGGCGTTCTATGACAAAAAAAGCCCTGCTTACAACAGTTCATTTAGTGACCGTTCAACATTTCAATGGCACTGAAAAAAGTGACCATGACCATTTTTCACACAACCGTTGCAGCATTCCCACTGTCCTGTGATCGAAACTCAAGACGCTTGGCAACTGACTCAGTTATGATGGTTGCAGCGTCCCAAGGTCATGTGATCACCTTTTGCAACTTTCTGACAAGCAAAGTCAATGAGGAAAACAGATGCACTTAACAACCATGACACTAACCTAACTGTAATGATTCACTTAACAACTGGGCAAGAAAGGTCGTAAAATGGGGCAAATTCACGAAACAAATGTTTCACTTAGCAACAAAAATGTTGGGCTCAGTTGTGGTCATAAGTTGAGGGACGGGGAAGCTAATTTCCCTAGCTGTATGCCTTAAAGCTACAAACGTTAAGAAACACTTTAACATTTCTGTTTTAGCATTTTGTTTTCATTTTTTGATTACAAAAGTCAGGTCTTAGGCTGCGGAGATTTCTTGCAACAGGTTTAGGGGGGGGGGGAAGACATGTCAGATAAAGGTACCCCCAAAACAGGTAAGTGGTGGCAATAAAAACTATCAAGCAGTGTTTTTCAAACTTGGAAACCCAAGATTTGCGGACTTCAACTCTCAGAATTTTGGCTTCACATCTTAAAAGTTGCTGAGGCTGAGAAACACCAAACTACACTGAGGGCAGAAGATGGTGTTAAGGTGTGAAAAAAGAATCAAAAGAAATTTAAGAATGAAAGATTAAAATATCTCACTTTTTATTCATCTCATCTTCACAACTGGCACCAGAAATCTGGGTCAACTAATGGGCTATCTTTAGATATATTTATCTCATGAGGTACAGTAGTTTACTCTTCCATAAGGATTAGTAGCATATTCTGACTCTAACTTGATTTTGTCTCTCTGGGAGAACTTTTCCAGGAGTAGTTCACTTATTTAGAAAAAAAAAGACTTCAAAGCAGGGGTTCTTACCTTTTGGGGAGACTGGTCCCCTTTCACAATCTAAGGAAACCCACGGACATCTTCTCAGAAAAAATATTTAAATGCATAAATTGTGTAATAAAAGAAACTGATTATGCTCAAATAAAATTATCAAAGTATTACTGGCATGTATGGACATTTGGACATACAAGTATTGACCATTATCACTTACATGGTTTTGGAGAAAAGGGTACTGCAAACAATAAAATGTTCTCACTTTTTAAGGATATAATATTTTTTACATAGTGAGATTTATTGAAATTAAATCCTATTTTTGCAGGCTGGAGGCCATAAATTACTTTGCTGCCTACATTATTATTGAGTAAAAATATAAATTAAAGCTAAATTTCAGTTAAAGGTTAGTGAAAATAAAGTTGTAATTTTATATACTATCCAAGTTCATGGACACCCTGAAAATTATCCACAAACCCTCAGGTTAAACACCCCTGCACTACTGGAAGTATAAAAAGCTGCAGAAGTCATTTCCATGACCCAGTGCAGGAAATCTCCCAATAAACCCTTTGTTTTTATCTAGAAAACTGACTTTATTAGTTTTAGAAGGGAATTTTTCATTAAAACTTCCTCAAGACTGCAGAGTTCTATAATTTTGAGTTTGAGGACAGGCCCAATAGTTTCTGTGCTTGGGATTTTAGGCAGAAAGATTCAAAGTATCTCCCTTTTTGTTTTCCTAGAGTTGGGTTGAAGGGATATGTTCTGGGTAAGAGGATTAAGACCTTTTCAACTAGACAGACCGGGATGTCAGGAATCATAGCTACTATTTCCTGGGGAACTCTTGCAAAAAGAAATAGGCCAGAAGGGATTTATATTGTCACCTTTTCTATTTTACAGTACTGTACATATAAAAAGAAATATTATTAGTGATACGGGTTAATGTATCTTTATCTTGCAAGAACAGACCGGGATTTTGGAGAAATTTTTCAACACCAGAGAATGATACTCACCTGGAACTGAAGGCAGCTGGAAAGAAAAAATCTACTCCCTTTTGGAGGATTTATGCCCAGTTTACCAAGAAAAAAAAGGCAGAAGAAAGGAAAATTGACAGAGTATCTCAGTACTAACAATTTTCCCCAGTCTAATATGCTGTAGATATTTTAGCTGTTATTCATTCCCTGCAGGATAATAAGAATTGTAGTTAAAAGCATTTTTAAATGAAAGTTTAGATTTCTGTGTTTTGGCAGACTGTGGTAAAAGTTTCTTCTGATTATTTGAACAGTATTTCTCCAAAGGACAGCCTATCCAGATATGGTTTCCCACTGTTCCCAGAATAGGATGCAACAGCCAGAATCTAAAAAAATTGATAGAGTAACTCTTCAGGTTCTAAACTATTGTCAGAATACAAAGAAGAAGCAGGCATTAGAAATGAAATGTTAATCATTTCTATCTCCCATCTCATGCAGGTAAAGTTATCAGTAATGGAAAACATTCTAAGCTGTCCTATGGACTCTTGAATCTATTATTGAATTTTACTTCCAGTTTAAACCTAAAGTTGATAAAAGAAACATAAAGCATGGCCAAAAGTCCAGGAATGCAGCTTTGGCTTTTTTATTAAAGCCAGATGTACTAAGCTGTGGTAGAAGACACAATAGTGTTCTCAAATCTATTTTGCAAAAACTTCACAATTGAAAAAAAAACAAAGCACATTCACAAAAAAAGTTAATGTGTGATGGTCCTCCTCTGCCAGTTACACTCAGTACAGAAACATTTTTGCCACACCAGCGTAACAAGGATGAACATAATATAACTTTATTGTGTGGGAAAGAATTATTATAAAAGTGTTTATTTTTATTATTCAAATGTTATGCACCAAAATATATTTATTTCAAATGTAGGAGACTAAGCCTACTGGAGTAGCTGTTAGCCATGAAAGCTCTCCAAGTGATTCTGGATCCACCAGAATCTTTTGCAACCCAACCTATCTCTCGTAAGTATTATCATGGGGGGAAATAAAAGCCTGAAGGCTAGGGAGATATCCATTGCTTTAACCATTTATATTTGTTTCAAGAAAACTCTTTCTTCCAGTGAAAGAAAATTTCCTGACAGTTGTTAATATTCCGAAAATGAAAGACGTCTGCTCACGATGAAGGAGCTTAGAAAACTAGATACAAGGTTTATTTTCAGATTCTGAAAAATGCTAAGTACCGCATCAGCAGTTTAAATAATCAATATTTATAAGATAGGTACAAAAGTTATACTAAGTGTTGACTCTACCTAGTTTTTCATAGCAGTTATTTCAAGAAACATTTTTTTTAAAGAAAGCACAGATTACCTTGACAGTGCAGTTTGTTTGCGCTTGTCATTTCATAGTCAGTTGTTTTCAATGGTCAATGAAGATTCAACAAAATCTAAGTCATTTACATAATATTAATTTCTTCCCTACTTTCAAAATGCAGATAAAGAATCAGAGGACTGAAAACATGCCTTCTTTCCTCCCTCCCTCCCCTTTTTCTATGCCAATGGACTCATTGTAATCCATATAACTATTTAGCTCTTATGGACTGACACAGGAAGATGACAGTGTTTGTTTTTTCCTTAGCTCATTTAATTTTCAATGGCTTGGTACATACTGGAAATAATCATATTCTTTTATATAACATGCCATACACTACAAATTAATATTCTACGTAGTCTGACATATGGGCGTCAAGCTATTTTCCAAGCGCCTGAAGGCAGGACAAGAAGCAACGAGTGGAAACTAAGCAAGGAGAGAAGCAACCTAGAACTAAGGAGCAACTTCCTGACAGTTAGAACAATTAGCCAGTGGAACAACCTGCCTCCAGAAGTGGTGAATGTTCCAACACTGGAGGTTTTTAAGAAGAGACTGGACAGCCATTTGTCCGAAATGGTATAGGGTTTCCTGCCTGAGCAGGGGGTTGGACTAGATGACCTCCAAGGTCCCTTCCAACTTTACTATTATTATTATTATTATTTTTATTATAGCATATATGAAAAACTTCAAAAGATGGAAGAGACTCAAAAGATCTATATAAGAAATACCATGGCTTTGGTATTTCTATGTAAGAAATTTCCTACATGGCTTTGGACCAGGATATCCAAAGGAATGCCTGTTGCATCTCCCACTTGTCTACATTCTGAGATAATCTGAGCCCCCTCATTCGGGTCTCTGCGCTGATATGAGATGGGCAGTAACTGAAAAAAGCCCCTTCTCAATTTATGATGTTCTCTCACCAGAGCTCACTTGAATGTTGCTATTTGTACCAGAAGAAGACAATTTTATTTAAACATTTAATTCTGCTGTCTACTTTGCTGCCAGTTTTAATCTGTAGATAGAAGAGGAAGTGGGTTAGAAGTTGGACATTTGATTTAAAGCCCCATCACAATGCAATATAAGGCTCCCTCTTTTCTATCTTCTATTAGGGAGAATATTTCTGTCATTTTGTGAATAAGACATCTGTTCATGAAATGAAACATACCATACCAAATGCATATTTGCCCGTGCAACTTCCTTAAAATAACATGGTATTTATGCAGTATTTCTGATAAAAAAATATTTGCAAATGCTCCGACGTGTTTGCCACAACATGGCATACAACTATGAATATGCAACTCCTACAAGGTTCAATAGGATTTTGTACAATTTTGTACAATTACACAATCTTACAATTAGTTTGTGGCAAAATTTATCAGCTAATAGTGACTAATATCACTCTCTGGTAAATGTATTTTCAGTGCTTCAGTGTGAAAAATATAATTTAAAAGATGACTTTTATTCTCAGCTACTGCAAACCCGGCATGTAATTATTACCTTGGGAAAACATGAATGCAGCAGCAGTAATGATGCATTATTAAATGAAAATAAAAGGAGTGATTTCCTTAAAAGGAAACCGCCTGCTCTTTAACTGTATTTTATCATGTTTCTATCACTCCACAGGTCCCTTCTAAATATCTTTTTGTTTTATTCTCTCAAAATAAGGCTGTAATTTTTTAAAAAACCATACCTTAACACAGATAATCAAAGAATGACTATTTCAATTTCTGAAAAAATTAAAAATAACTAGTGAAATATTTTTAATATCAATGAACACATCCTTAAGCATTATTTTATGGATTCTTGCTCATATCTACACACTGCCGGGCATCAGCAACGGCTTCAGGCACTCGGACAATCATATTGTTCATATATTTCTTCAAGCAAATTTGACAGCCCAAACGTGACCTAGAGAAGGGAAAAAGCATATTGTATGAATGACAATATTATAACATTCCACTACTGTAATATTACAATTATAGGTAATCCTCAACTTCAAATCATTCTTTTTGTTTGAAGCTGCAATGGCACTGAAAAATGTGACTTACGATTGTTTTTCACACTTACGTTGCAGCATCCCATGGTCATGTGATCAAAATTCAGATGCCTGACAACTGGCTCATATTTATGACAGTTGCAGTATCCCGTGAATATGTGATCATCTTTGTGATCTTCAATGCGGAAGCCAGATTTACCTGACAAATGTGTCACTAATTTAACAAGTGCAGTGATTCATTTAACAACTATGGCAAGAAAGGCCATAAAATGGGGCAAAACTCACTTAATAACTATCTCGCTTAGCAGCAGAAATTTTGGGCTCAGTTACAAGCACAAAATATATTAGAAAAATATATTGATGAAGGATAAGAAGCTAAAGTCTACTCAGTATGATATGCAAGGACAGAAAACTGAAAAGTCTCTATATATTTAGCCTTAAGCCAGCCTTTCCCAACTTGGGACCCTCCAGTTGTACAGACTTCAAAACCCATAATTCTCAACAGTGATCATTTTGTCTGGCAGCTGTAGCTTCTACATCTGGAAAGGGGCTTGAACGGGGAAGACTAATTGGACAGTTCAATTTGCTTTGTATATTCACTTCTGTGCATATTTTCTAGCTAAAGGAGAAAAGATAAACATCAAATTTTCTATATCCAATCTGTATAGCATATATTGTAATTAACTTTATACAACTTTATAAAATAACTTTGATGTAAAATCCAAGAATTCATAATAGAGAAATATTTCCTTTTGGTTTATACAAGAATATGGAAAAAAAAGTTTACAAAGCTTATGGAAGTTTCATGGAAGACTAACTTAAATAAATGAATTTCTTGTTGTGAAAATCTAACATTGTTTTAGATATTAATTCTGAGAAGACACTAAGCAAATCTTGGAAAGGTAAAGAAAATAGACATATACCAACATTGGACAAGAAACATTCCTGCTCTTTAAAGGCCAAAGTCAAGAGCCTAAGTATGGACAACAAAAGTCAACTTTGCAAATAGGTTTGGATTAAACTCGTAAACAACCATTAACTAAATGCTGAAACAAAAATGTTCAATCCTCTCCTGACTTGATAACTGATAATACTTTGCACATAAAAAAGTAGATAATAAAATCAGCAAGGATAATAAACACACTAGCTACTGGGACATTTGAAATTTTGAATTTTGAAAGTAGTAGTAAATTTTCTACCAAAATGTCCATTAATGACAGGCACAATGAGTATGTTCCATCAAAAAATGTTAATGAAGTCAATTCATACCACATCCTACAGCACTGCCACCTCCGCTCCCTATTATCCCAGGGCATCTTAGTTTTCTAAGCAAGGAGCACATTTAAACAGAACTCTGGACAGCTGTACACCATTCTCTAAGAATGCTTATAAGCCTATATGCAATGCAGGAATATTTTAATAAATAAAATGATACCATATTTATGGTTTTTATATTTGAACTGTATACCACCCAGAATTACTGTGTGACTGAGATGGGTGGTCTCTAAATCTGAAGTATAAATAAATAAATCTCTCCTTTTAAAATTAAAAAAATAAAATAAAGAAAAGGAGCATGATGTCTGTCAAAAGTAATTTCCATGGGCAGATAGGCACTGCTTGTCCTTCACTTAAGCAGCACGTGGTCAATTGAATAAAAACAGTGAAGATATTTTCAACGATTTTATGTTGATTCCACCTTACCTTTCTGTCAAGCCGTAGGCAAGGTCCAGCATATCCATTTCTTCATCTGTAATTACATCTAATTTTTCAAATATGTGGTCTTCAAAGATTAAGTGACATGTAGAACAGGCAAGTGTTCCTTCACATGCTCCTAAAGATAAATTAGGTACATGTTTAATTCATTACCTTTCAACATCATTTTGTGTTCATCATTCAACATCAACAACATAATCCCATTCATTAATGTGAGACAGTCACCTTCATACAGAAACCTGGCAGTATATAAAGTGCATGATTTTTGAGGGGAGAGATAATGGAAGGATTAATGTTATCTCTTCCTGAGAATTAACATTTCACAGGCATTATGGCAAACAATGTATTAAATAAGCTTAAGGTGCTATGAGAGTTGCAACACAAATTATTTTATTAACAGAAAGCAACAGTCTTGTCTGCAATTTCAGCAAAGTTATTCACACTAGAGGTACTATATTCGAATAAATCTTTCACAAATCAGACCACTTTCAGAACTATTTTAATTGAACACATCTGAGGACATAAGGTTGAAGAAGGCAGTTACAATATTTGTACAATATAGTTTAAAGAGATTGTATGAAGCATCATAGGCATCATCAATTAATAATCACAGATCAGGATAACATAGGCAGAAGATATATCTATGCTTATAATACAGATAAACTACAACTGTAAAGCCAAAATAAAAAAAAAGATAAAACATGAAAATAGTGTTGTAATAGCAATAGCATCTTTAATTGAACAAGAATTATGCTAAGCAAGAGAAGGATTTCATCAAACAGGCAAATATTTAAAGCGTTAAATGTCAACATATTATCTGTATGCCTGCTATGCCCCCTACTGACAAAAAAGCTGGAACAGATATTTTCTTTTTTAGGCATTATCAATGAATGTAATTGATCATTTTTTAGAGGACTGAATGTGGACAATTAAACTTTTCAATTTTACTTTCTGTATCTGGAATATTAAAAAGTATGAAGTCAGTTTTAAGATACCATATCAATCCACTGTGCTAACACGTGCAAATTAGTCTTTAAGACTAATTTTTTGTTTTCTGGGAAATGTTACCCTTAAATCTTTTCTGACATTTCTAGCCCTGTTAATCACAATGTAACTACCATTTAAAATGTTTGCTGTTGTACTGCCTATATGTTGTAAACTTTCATAACTCACTGAAAAAGACTGTATTAAAATATTTGTGAATAAACACATTTCATAAAGTGATACTAGACTAATGCAATGCATTAGAGAACTTTGATGAGATAAAGCTTCAAATAACCAAAACCAGAAGGATCACATGTCTGAGGCCAAAGAAGAAGGCAGGTTAAATGGTATAGCAAAGATAGCAATATAAACAGAAAAAAAATCACTAATTATATGAGATTCAGAAGAATTCACATATTTTATTTAAGCCATAATGCAGTTTATTTGCTTTTGGCTTAGGATTACCTGTGGATCCCTATGATTGCATTTGTAAATGTTCGTTGATATGTTACAATTATTTTAAAATTTGCTCCTATAGCCTGTCCAAAAATTATGGTAAGAATATGGTTTAACACAATGTACAAATCCAGCTTTGGGTGTCCAAATTCAGCTATATAACCAAGATTCCTCCATTATACATAGAGGATGCTTTCAAACTGAGGAATAGAGTTGACTACAACTAAAGAAGTTATATACAGGTAGTCTTCTCAATGATCATTCATTCATCAACCGTTCAAAATTATGACAATGCTGAACAATGAGACTAAGAACCAATGCCTGAAGTTATTGCTGTTGCAATACCCCTGCAGTCATGTGACTTGCGATGTGACCTTTTTGGCAGTCCATTTGCAATTATGCAGGTTGCCAAGCACCCATGATCATCATTTGAAATCTTTCCTGTTGGTTTTCCCAGAAAGTCAATGGAAAAATGTCATTTTGGGGGATGGAACTTTTTCAACCATCTATTTGGGAGCCAAATGGGATTTTGGCACATGGCGCTTACAGTCTGGGTATTTGAAGCCAGCCTGCCAGACTGATTTTGCCTCACATGGGCCAAATCCATCTGGCCATATGCAGCAGTTCTGTGCACAGAGGGGAGCTACCTGCCCCCCTTTGGCAGGGAGCTCTTTCATTCCATTCACTTAACCACCACAAAGGGGAGAGCTGGTATTGTGGCTGTTGAGCAAGGTGGTCATGTGGGCATCTTGCTTAAAGACTGCAATGTCTTAAAACCAATATTCCAGGCTCAGTTGTGGTTGTAAATTGAGGAGTACTTGTAGAAGAATAAATTACAATTCACTAATAGTGACTGATGTCAGAACACATTACTGTTGAAGAGTTACACAAACCAACAATATTCTTTTTCCTAATTTTAGCAAAAAAAAAAAAAAATACTTATAGCAGTGCTGCTGCTTAGAAATGGTTAATTCTGAATCAAGTCAGTTTCAATTCTTTTTTTATATATATATAAAAAAACCCAACTTAAATTTCTTAGGAAAGGAAACACATTTACTTACCAAATCCATCTATGTCTAGATTGTTATCTATCACAACATCTAGAAGAGAATCTCCAACCTTTCCTTTGGCTGTTAATTTATCACCATCTCGATTTATAAAGTGCACTGTAACTTTTTCTTCCGAGCTGAAAAAAAATTCAGTACCTAATTGTTCTCTTTTAATCCAATTTTTTACAAAATTGTTTTTCAGTACAGTAAATATTAGTTTACGGAGATTAAATATATTTATTTAAAAAACTTATATGGTTCCTACCTTATACATGATAATCTTAGGTGACTCTCAATGACATTCAACAGAAACAAAATAAAATTTCTCAACAAATATTATAATGGAACTGTCTTCAGAATTAGATACCAATAATAAGCTAGAATAAGGCTGAAGAAAATTGGGGTTTTTATTTATTAGATAGGATTTTATATTACTAATTAAAATAGAATATACTCAAATAGACAAGATGTGTATTTTGAATACTAGATTTTGTTATGAATTGAGATAAAGAAAACTTTGGTCACTTAAAACTTGGAAGTATAAATATTAAAACTTAAATTTGAATAATGATGGGAAATTAAAAATTGGGAAAAACAAATAAATAGGATATTGTCTATAAAGATTAAATGTAAAAATAATTAAGATGTATAAGCTAAAAATTTATTGATAAATGTAATAAGCATGTTTTTACTTAGTTTTTACTTAGAACTGTATTAGCTTAAATATGAGACAGTAGATATTAAGGGGAAAAGAGAGGAAGTATTTGATGTTGAAATAAGGGAAATTTTGGTGATTAAATTTAAGACATTTGGAAATTAGTTGAAAATAAGGATGTTATATTGTATTATTAACTAGATGATGCAAGATGGTGGGAAATAGAATATACTTAAATAGATAAGATGTGTATCTTGAATATTAGACTTTGTTATGAATTGAGATAAAGGAAATTTTGGTTACCTAAAACTTGGAAATTATAAATATCAAATGTTAAATTTAAATACTGATGGGAAACTAAAAATTGGGAAAAACTAATAATAGGACATTGATTGTCTATAAAGATTGAATGTAAAAGCAACTAGGATATGTATAAGCTAAAAAATTATTGATAAATGTAATAATGCTATTTTTACTCAATTGATATAATAAGAACTATATTAGTTCAAATATGAGACAGTAGATATTAAGGGGAAAAGAGAGGAAATATTTGATGTGGTACCTTGAGATTTGTACTAAAGATTTTTGTATACTATTGAATTATCAATTAACCCAGCCACCACGTTGCTTTTTAAATACTTAAATGTAAAATTAAAAAATTAATAAAATACTACCCGCCCAAAAAAGGATTGAACTCCTGGCAGTGGGTAGAGTCAGCCTGCAATAATGCATCTAACCACTGCACACCACGGCTCCTACATAATCTATGTAGATTCCTTGCTTGTGTAACTAAGATGCAATTATAATAGCCAAGATATTACTTCATAATTCATCTCATCATAATAATAAATATAATTTATGTTAGGTACAGACTGGTACGCACTATGACCATTTAGAGTGGCACAGAAATCCCAAGATTAATAAATCTGCATTTATTAAGTTGAAGAAACAATAAGGCAAAATAATTAAAATGAAAGTATTACAACTGTGGACAATTAAAATGGCTGAATTATTTCAATTTTGCTACAACCTGCAACAGAAAAACTACTCACTCAGAGGTTAGAGACTGAGTATTTCCATAGCACCTATAAACATTTTTTATATTTATACCTCTAAGCAATCAAAGACTTTCAGCAGCCAGACATAATGCAAACAATACAAAACAGAAGTTAGAAATGGGGGGTGGCTTTGAAATTGTTAATTATTTCTAGAATATCCATAAGGTTATTTGTAATAATTTTAGGAACATCAATAAGTAGGGGCTACCATGATCAGTCCTGGGAGGTTGTTCCACAATATCTCTATTGCCACTGAGAAGCTGCATGTTCTTCCCTCAGCCCTTGAATCTCCTGAAAATGTGGGATCAGTTAAGAGTTTCTCCTTGTTTGATCTAACTGGTTTGGCCAGTACTAGTTGGACTTTCTTTCTGGATATACTGGATTCAGGCTATTGAATCTGTATAGGCAAGGGTTTTTTTTTTTTTTTTTTGTTCATAGAATGTAGAACCTAACTGACCACAATGAGTCATGTTAAAAAGAATAAGAGACCCTGAAACTGGATACTATTGGAATGAGATGAAGATTAAACCAGATTTTTTTAAAAAAAAAGTTTAGATGGCAATAGGAAACCATTTCCATGTTGTTCCCAAGAGCACAGAGATACACCTACACTGTTAACAAGATTCAAGTTTTACCTTGAAGGATACTTCATTATACTTAGCCTTTCTGATATCAAATATGATATTCAAGTGCACACAAATGCATATGATAGATATTTATTATTTCAATGTATATGGATGACTCTGGACAGATAATCACCATCAACTTTCCAGGTCATTATTAGTGGCAGAGGAGTAGCAGTTATTAGTTAATTGTCAAATTGTGAACAGTGTATCCCAGCATCGTGCCAACAGTTGATTAAATAGCTACTGAACTAGGGGGACTAAAGCCCTCTGGAGTGCCCGCCCTTATTCCTGATTTGGCGCTTTAAATAAACAACTGATGTTGATCCACTGTAAGTCCAACTAAGCTGAAAGAATCAGAAATCTTGCACAAATATAAAATAGGCGCTACTGTATCAACATGGATGGAATCCAATATGCAGAACTTATGTGAGTTATTCTTTCCATGTCCATAGGACTGAGGCATCCTCCAGACCAGATCTGGAATGCTTAGAAAATGTTTTTCTCTCCTTTGCAGAAAGAAAGTGCAACTACCAGAGAGTGGATTACACAAGTTTAGGAGTTATCTTGCAATAGTGGCAAGTTCTTACTTGATCTTTTCTTCCCCCATTTGAATTCACATTCTGGGCAGCCCAGTTTAAAAGAATAAGATGATCACTGTTGATTGAATTGTTTACATCAGACATGTCAAACACAAGGCCCGCGGGCTGGATCTGGCCCAGGAGGGCCCCAAATTTGGCTCCCAAAGCTGTTCCAGAAATGGCAAGGGACTGACCCCCATTGCCCCAGCTCTGGCCCACCCCAACCTGGCTGGCACCCTCCCGGCACATGCAAAGGAAATGGCGAGCACTTGGGGGCTGGTGGTGAGCAGCAGTAGCTGCAGCTTGTTTGCCTCACCCCGCACCGCCCGGCCTCACTCCGTCACGCCCGGCCACACCCTGCTTTGCCAGGTCTCTCCTTGTCTGGCTCTGCTTTGCCGGGCCATGCCTCACCACGCCCAGCCCCACTTGCAGGGCTTTGCCTCTCCTCACTGGGGCCAAGGAGTTCTATAAGCCTAGCACCCTGGGGCATGCTGGCCTGTGGGAAGAAAGGCGCGGAGATGAGAATATGCGGTGGCACAAACCAAGCATCGACGGCTTCCAGTAGCCATCTCCGTCATGTGGTGGGGCCGGATGCAGAGCTGCAGCCTGGAACTGCCGGCAGCCAGCAATGTGTGAGGCTCTGTGGCAGCTGGAAAGGCGAGGAGGAAGAGAAAGCAGGAAGGGTTTCTCTCTCTCTATATATGTGTGTGTTTGTGTGTGAGAGAGAGGGGGGGGGGGAGAGAGAGACTGAGCCAGCAGGGAAGCCAAAGTGTGGGGAACGGGAAGCGTTGCAGAGTAATCAAACTTACAAAAAGGGGCTCTCTCTCTCTCACACACACACACAGAGAGAGAGAGAGAGAGAGAGAGAGAGAGAGAGAGAGAGAGAGAGAGAGAAACCTTCCCTGCTTTCTCCTCCTTCTCGACCTTTCTCTCCAGCTGCCACAGAGCCTCACACATTGCCGGCCGCTGGCAGTTCCAGGCTATGGCTCTTTATCCGACGTGAATGCTGTGTTCCCCTCTCCAGCCCTACCACGTGACGGAGAGGGCAATGCTCGGCTTGAGCCTCCGTGCTCTCCCATCTCCCTGCCTTTCATCCCACAGGCCAGGGGCGGGTGGGCTGGGCCCCTTCTTTCGATCCCCCTCTAGGGTGGCCCTGAGGATCTAAAACTGACCACATTGTGGATGGCTGACATGAAGTCTAGATCAGCGCCATCCCCACCACCAGCACCTCCATGGCCAACTGCCTGGCATCACAGCCTTTGAGCGCTTCTCTTTCCCCACCCCTGCATGGGAAAGCCACGGCCACTGGCAGCAAAGAGAAGCAAGACGGCAAGACTGGATGCCAGGCAGTTTGCAGAAGGCCAGCGAAAAGGTGAGGCAATTTGGGAGGGTCGGGTTAGTCGCACTGTGATTCTCAGAAAAGTGAGAGGCCTGAAAGAAATATATGGAATTATCTTGAAAGGACTTCTGGGGAGATAGCTTGAAGCCATGTGTTGCATCGGGAAGGTGGTGTGCAGGCAGGCGAGAGAGTAAACTTGCAGATTGGCTTTGTGGTCTATTCTTGCAGCGTCCTCTCCCTAAAATCCAGCCAATAATAGAACTCTTTGGATTGAATGGGAAGTTAAGAGGTATTGGTGTGAATTGAAATTAAAAAGCGCTGCCAACCTCTCCCCCTTCCCTCGTCCCTTCCTAAGCACAGAAAGAGGGAGGGAGGGAAGGAAGGAGGGGAGGGAAACAGAAGAAAGAAAGGGAAGGAAAGAAGATGGGAATGAAAAGGAGGGAGGCAGGGAAGGAGGGGAGGGAGGAGGGAGGGAGGAAGGGAGATTGGAATGAGAGGAGGGAGGGTCTGAGGGAAGTCCTGCCTTAGCACTTGGCCATCAGCAGCCCTGTTGCCCTTTCACCATCACCTGGTGGTCTCCCATCCTATTGCTGAGGACGATTTGATTACAAAGCCAGGTCTCCTTGCATGGAGAGGGAGTGAGCCTCCCTCTGACCCACACACTTTGCCCTCCTGTACCCACCATGAGTAACCTGGCCAAGGAAAGCGAGCACAGCAGCAGCAGCCTCAAGGAGAAGGTAAGCGCAGTTGGGCTCCCCCTTGAGGAAGTGCAGCTGAGCTAGGCATGGCTGTGAGGTCCTGATGATGTGGGAGCTCAAGGGCTGGGCTGGGCACTTGACCTTCGCTGCCCAGAGCTCCAGGCAGTCCATGCCACAGTCCACGCCCCCCCGCATGGCCTGAAAGGGACAGTGAGGCTCCTCTAGTGAACCATGCCCTGGCGCTTGCCCCGGTCCCACTCCCTCTACCAGAGACCCTTGGATCTGCCCGTCCTGCCCAGGCCCACACAGGTGGCCCTGACGCAAGTGACTTGAGCTGGTCATGCCCACCCAGTAGGCCACACCTACCCCAGCCACACCCACTCGCCCCCCCACGGCAACCACAATGCTGATGCGGTCCTCAATGAAATTGAGTTTGACACCCCTGGTTTACAAGGAGAAACCATGGATTACTTCGCTTTCCCTTTAACTCTCAAAAAACAAAGGCTAACATATGTGTCTTATACAAGTAATTATTTTGTTTACACCATCCAACTTTCACATATGGAACAAGTAGCCACCTCATAAGATGAAACTCTAGTCTACACCTATGAAACTTTAGGCCATGGCATAGTTAATTGCAGCTTACTGAAAAGCATAGTTAGTAGGCTTCCATATTATATGCTTATGTAGTTCGCTAAGCCATAAACAAATGGTAAACAAATCTAAGTGAAAGTATTTTATGTAAAGTCAAAGTCACAAATTCTCTTCTGGATTAGATTGTTGTAGGAACACATTTGCCAATGATTAATAGAACTACGGTTTATCGGTTTTTCTGGGCTCCCACAATACACTTAGCTATAAATTGACCTCAGGGGCAACACCGGGGTCATATTACACAACCAGTTGTCGCAACCCAGGTACAAGACAATTGCGTGGATGACCGTGACCAAAGTCACGGTTGCCACTTTCTGTCACCTCCGAGCTGACGTAGCCCAAGTACTGCTCCGAGGCGAGCCCTACGCTTTTTTTCACCAGCCAATCCCGGGATTTTCCCTCACTTGGCGCTGTCAGTTCCCTGGGAACGAGAGAGAGAGGTGAGCGATCTGAGGTACCCGTCGCCCCACTTTCAACTGAGGCCGGGAAGGTTGACTTGGCGAAGACAGGACGGAGCTCCTACCTGAGCCCCCACGCCGCGTGGAAGGTCCGGCAAGACCCAAGGCGGGCGGCATTACTCCAGCTATTGCCAGTCCGGAAGGGAGCCGCCAGGACCCGCCAGCAAGAAGTCGGAGCGGCTCGAAAGAGACGACGAAAGCTGCTTAAAGTGGCCATGCTGTAACGGCGAATCCCCAAGCCAACGGAAAAGGGAGAGCGAGCGACTTCCGCTTATTACTTGCTGAAAGCCAAAGGTCGGTCCATTTAGCCAACCGGAATGCACGGCGACTATTCTCATAGGTTTTTACACTGCCGACGTCAGAGACGCCGCGAAATGCGCAAGAGTCCCTCGCATGTTAGACGGATTACGCGAATTACGGAAATGAAGCTTTCGGCGCATGCGTGCTAGGTGAGCGCTTGGGCTGGGAACCGCGCATGCTCGCCCTCGTTGATCTTCGGCTCCTTTTTAATTTAGGAATTTGGCGAACGTATAACAGCGCAATGGTGGTTTGTTTTATTAAGTATATTTAAACAAATGCCTAACCATGTCTTTAAGGTGTAACTTAGCTGTTTAATGGATTTTATATGTTTTCTAGAAGTGGTCAAAGTGTAATGATTAACAGATTTGGATTTCCGTTCGAGATCTATTGCTTTGTAGTTTTGGACATTTGGACAATTTATCTTAATGCAGGGATTTTTTTCATTTTGTAATCTCTATTAAATTAGCATATGTAATCTTTCACCAGTAGGGGGCAGAGCAAATCAAGGAAGGGAGCAACATTATGAGTTGTTAATGTGTAAATAATAATAATAATAATACATAATACTTAATGTAAAATGCTTCTCCTTCAGCGTTTGTTAGAAAGGCATATAAAAATATGCCTTTCTAACATATTGCCCTAACAGGCCCTTCTTCATTATCATATGCTACCATAAAATTATCATTACCTTAATTAATACCTTCATGTCTCCATAACATGAAAGAGAGGATAGCAAGTTTAATTCTAGAGATCACATGAGATTTGACAGAAAAGAAAAATCCTCATGCACAACCTGATATGTGTAAAAATCTAAATTACAGTTACTAAGCTTGGATAAAGAATATTAGACTTGCACTTAGCCAAAAAAACCTAACATAAGTTCCTGGCTCAGTATTTATTTATATCCTGCCTTTATTATTTTTACAAATAACTTAAAGCAGCGAACATATCTGATACACCTTTCTCCTCCTATTTTCCCCACAACCTTGTGACAGAAGTTGCACTAAGACAGAGTGACTGGCCCAAAATCACCCAGCTGGCTTTCATAGCTACGGCAGTATTAGAACTTGCAGTCTCTGGCTTTCTAAGCCTGGTGCCGGACCACTAGGTCAAGCTTGTCTTACCTATCTCTATAGAAATAGAGGATTCCTAAACAGATGCTCTCTCTGCTTTTTACTTTTTCACTTCCCCACAGAATTCTGAAGTTCCCGGCTATGCTTATTTTCCAGTTTCCTTCCAGCAATTTTTGCTTGGTTTTTAAAGTATTCTTAATTTCCCTGTTTTCAGTAAAGAGCCATGGGTATCTTTCTGCATCTACATGATATTTTTCTTATGTTTATTGAGGATGAGTGAGATGTATGAATGTCTATACCTGTCAACTTGTAAGAAGGATATGTTCAGATACCTGTCTTTGGAATCAATGTATCCTGGATCAGTGCCATTACTGATTGGGAAGAGGAAGCTTCTCAATTTGTAGTTCTCCACTATACAATGATAGAAGAATGCAATTATGACCTGTATTAAGGCCTCTAATGAAAAGGCACATCAGTCAGCCAACCCAGCAATCTCTGGATGTGGAGAACAGAATTTTAGAAATCCCAGCTTTTCCCTCTTTAGATCCATGCACAATTAGGTCAGAGGTCCCCAACCTTTACAAATAACTCAAAGCAGCGAACATATCTGATACACCTTCCTCCTCCTATTTTCCCCACAACCTTGTGACACAAGTTGCACTAAGAGTGACTGGCCCAAAGTCACCTAGCTGGTTTTCATAGCTAAGGCAGTATTCCGTGGTGAGAGGTTTTTCCATGGACTGGAAGGTATGTGGTTTTGTGTGCTGCCTGCATCTTACAGCTTGCTTGTTTATGCGGACCGGTTGCTGGCATGACGCGGCCCGGTACTGGTCCACGGACCGGGGATTGGGGACCCCTGAATTAGGTCATAGGCTTCCTTTCTGAATATAATAAATCATAGGTAAAATAATTACTGGAAATGGAATCATTGTCAACATTTCTGCTAATGCTCAAGGATGCCTACAAACTATTGACTTGACTAGTGCTCCTAATTCATGCTAAGCCAGCTAATGATTTATTGCAAAAATTGATAATAGACATTGTACAATATTCAACTGAAGTAAAATTTTAATAGCCTACCATGAATCCTATGGTAGGGGAATCAGCCAAAGAAAATCTAATGCATGACTTCATATAATCCAGTAGATTGACGATTGTAACCGTGATGTGATGGCCACTGTTCATATTCTATGGTGCTTCTTAGGACTATCACCCACCAAACTTGCTTGTTAGGCCATTCCAGGTGTTTCTGTGAGCTACCAGCTCAATTTCAATGAAAGGAATTTGGCTGTTTGCTTGGTAGACACAGACTGCCTCTCCAAGCAACAGAAAATATATCAGTATCAGTATGATTGCTCTATGTTGTTATGTTTGGCTTCAAAGTGCCAGTCTTTGGTAGGGGTTTGAATCTGGTCTGACTTACTATTGATGAAGAAAGCCTATTTAGCTAGTACATGATGGCACATGGGGATGAATCTTGGTAGTAGTACAGCAATAGCAGTTTTCTGAAACTGGTCCTTGATATCACAGTTCAGATTTTACCCAGACCATCCTAATTTGCAAAACAACCTACAAATTCTGCTAGAAATATCAGTACAACAGGAGATATGGGGATGAGTCAGAATATTGCCTTTTACTGATCCCCAAAAGTCATTCCTATGAACTAAAGTACCACTGTATTAAGTCTTCCATTCAAACTAGTGTTGTATTCCTTTCCTATTCCTTTGGTACTAATAAACTACAGTAACACTGTATTAACTCTTCAATCCAAAACAACTATTGTTGTATAAGATCTGTGTTTTCTAGGCAAATGTTGTCCAGCATTTTATATATTTTGGTACAAACCAAACAATAATTGGATGGAATATCCTATTTAGATCTCTATAAAGTCATCATGTACCATTGGGCATGACAATGTACAGCTCTATTAAAAGTCCCAAGTAAGAGACAGATGTGCTGGTGTGCATGGGTATGTGTGTTAGAAATGCTATCACTCCTGACAGCTTGGAACTGTTACAACTACATTGTCCTTCCTGGAATACGTTTTGATTGCCGATGTGTCTAGAGAGCACAGACTTTAAGAATATTTTTATTGCTGTGAAAGCTCAGCAAATGAAATGACCTAGAAAATGTTATCCTCCACAATACAGTGGGGCAAAAAAGTATTTAGTCAGTCACCAATTGTGCAAGTTCTCCCACTTAAAAAGATGAGAGAGGCCTGTAATTGTCATCATAGGTAGACTTCAACTATGAGAGACAAAATGAGAAAACAAATCCAGACAATCACATTGTCTGATTTGGAAAGAATTTATTTGCAAATTATGGTGGAAAATAAGTATTTGGTCACCTACAAACAAGCAAGATTTCTGGCTCTCACAGACCTGTAACTTCTTCTTTAAGAGGCTCCTCTGTCCTCCACTCATTACCTGTATTAATGGCACCTGTTTGAACTTGTTATCAGTATAAAAGACACCTGTCCACAACCTCAAACAGTCACACTCCAAACTCCACTATGGTGAAGACCAAAGAGCTGTCAAAGGACACCAGAAACAAAATTGTAGACCTGGACCCGGCTGGGAAGACTGAATCTGCAATAGGCAAGTAGCTTGGTGTGAAGAAATCATTAGAAAATGGAAGACATACAAGACCACTGATAATCTCCCTCGATCTGGAGCTCCACACAAGATCTCACCCCGTGGGGTCAACATGATCACAAGAATGGTGAGCAAGAATCCCAGAACCACACGGGGGGACCAACGTAACAAAGGCAACCATCAGTAACACACTATGCCGCCAGGGACTCAGATCCTACAGTGCCAGACGTGTCCCCCCTGCTTAAGCCAGTACATGTCCGGGCCTGTCTGAAGTTTGCTAGACAGCATTTGGATGATCCAGAAGAGGATTGAGAGAATGTCATATGGTCGTATGAAACCAAAGTAGAACTGTTTGGTAGAAACACAACTCGTCGTGTTTGGAGGAGAGAGAATGCTGAGTTGCATCCAAAGAACACCATACCTACTGTGAAACATGGGGGTGGAAACATCATGCTTTGGGGCTGTTTCTCTGCAAAGGGACCAGGACGACTGATCTGTGTACAGGAAAGAATGAATGGGGCCATGTATCGTGAGATTTTGAGTGCAAACCTCCTTCCATCAGCAAGGGCATCGAAGATGAAACGTGGTGGGTCTTTCAGCATGACAATGATCCCAAACACACCGCCCGGGCAACGAAGGAGTGGCTTCGTAAGAAGCATTTCAAGGTCCTGGAGTGGCCTAGCCAGTCTCCAGATCTCAACCCTATAGAAAACCTTTGGAGGGAGTTGAAAGTCCGTGTTGCCCAGCAACAGCCCCAAAACATCATTGCTCTAGAGGAGATCTGCATGGAGGAATGGGCCAACATACCAGCAACAGTGTGTGCCAACCTTGTGAAGGCTTACAGAAAACGTTTGACCTCTGTCATTGCCAACAAAGGATATATAACAAAGTATTGAGATGAACTTTTGATATTGACCAATACTTATTTTCCACCATAATTTGCAAATAAATTCTTTCCAAATCAGACAATGTGATTGTCTGGATTTGTTTTCTCATTTTGTCTCTCATAGTTGAAGTCTACCTATGATGACAATTACAGGCCTCTCTCATCTTTTTAAGTGGGAGAACTTGCACAATTGGTGGCTGACTAAATACTTTTTTGTATATGTTACTGAAAAGATTCTATTCCATGTCTTCTATAAATCATAACTTGCTGGACATGGGTTATATTTCTGTGAATTGACATTATTTCTACATATAAAGGGAAACAAATATAATTTAAAATCTTCTGAGGCAATACTAGATTAACAGAAGTTTGTAGTTTCAAGGTTTTGTTTCGAGTTTTTAGTTTTAATAACTCAGGTTTCTAAGAAATCTGACTAATATTTGAGTCGTGCTTGCACCAGACCACATGCTTAAATTTCATCTTCAAAGGGCATGAGGG